CCCGCCCGGGCGGCGGGGGGGCCGCCGTGGGGGAGTGACCCCCGTGCTTGGTGCGGGTGGGGGACAGTGTGAATGCGACCCCAGAGACCAGCCAAAGCACCCGGGCAGGCTCTTTGGAAAAGAAAAAGCTTCCCCGAGTTGCATGTTGTGTTGTAAGACGTGATCTGTTCTTCATTAGTGACTTTTGGCTTGGTCGTAGGACTTGGGCTGTAGCGCTGAGCCGTTGAGGCAGCAGCAGTGTGGGACACAGGGCGACTGTGTCTTCATGTCCCTGGGGGGGGAAAAAAAAAAAAACCCGTGGAAATAAGTACAGCAAAAATAGTCCTGCTTTCCAGACAGCTGGGCTTGATAATCAAGAGACCGGATTGTGGCCAGCTTTATAAACTGCTGGGTTATTCTTGGGCTGCTAATATGTAAGCTGAGCTTTCATTGTTTTACCGAATGTATTTTTCCTCTCCTAAGACGATCAAAAGTAAAGCTGGCCAAGGCTCCTGGATGCAGTTAAATGCGTAAGGATGCTGAAATTCGCAGAATAGGCAAATTTTGTAGCAGTTAAACGTGTTTGGATTTACTACGTGCTGTCTGCGGAGCTCTTGCTTGGTTTCGGGAAGCAAAACCGGAGCGTTTAGAGCCAGAGGATCTGAGAGTTAGCTGTAAGGGAAGCGCCTGATGACATGCACATTTTGGACGGGCTTGTCCTTTAAGGGAAAAAAATGAACTGCAGTGGGCAGTTTAAGGCAATGAGCAGCTTGTTTTTGTTTGGTTGCGCTTCAGTATGTGGGAGTGTTTATAGGCTTGGAAAGAGGAGACAGGCATGGCGGTGTCGTTTCTCTGAATTGCAAAGAACTTTTAGGACTCGAATTCTTTAAACTTGTATGCGTAAAACATTTATTAATGCCTTTTGTTGTAAGCGGGTCGACTGAAATAAACCTGTTTAATATTTTAATATCATCCATTATTAATAGAGTTCTAAAAATTCAGTTCGCTACTTGGATTTCTCTCAGCTAGTTTGCCTGAGTACTGACTGCAGGGTTTCTTCTCGCTATCGCATTGCTACAGCAAGTAGCTGCTGGGGAACGTGAGGCTTGTAAAAAGCTTGTTTGATCAGCTATTGTCTCATGTTATTTCAAAGCACTTAAACTTTATTGAACAGTTCTTATGTAAATAGCAGTAGAATCACGGTAAGACCCGGGAAGTCTATTATAGCAACTTAAGCACCTGTTAACTACTTAAGTGAAATCTCAAAAAGGTGTAATCAGTATGTGTGTTTTGGTGTTTATGCATACAGCATTTTCATGGCAAGCAGTCTATTGATTTCTAGACTGTATATACCATGAGACTGGGCAGATACTATGACTTTTTGTTGCTTTTTTTTCCCCAGGTGCTAATAGATAAATGAGTTTATGAATAGCAGTGGATCATCTGTAAGTGAAAAGTAGTTCCTGTGAACTGTAATGCTTTGTCACGTTCACTCTAGCCCTACCTGAAATTCTGCTGTTACGGGCCGACAGTAAGGATTAGGAAGCAGCAGTGATCTCTCTAAATTTGGGTTAAATATATTTTCTATTAACTGGCTGGTAATTGTCCTTGCCACAGTCTCCTTTACTTTTCAGTTCTTCGTGTGGATTCTTCAGTGTCACTTCCCAGTTATTAAACACAATTTCTTGTTGTTCCTCTCAAACGCCTATTTAAGCGTACTGCAGAGCTCATTCAGCTAAATGCACGCAGCAGCCTGCTGGTCATACGCCTGCTCTGGCCTTTCCCTCACCTCGGTCGCTTCTGGTCTGTGCTGGTGTCTCTGTATTTCAGCAGGGGGGCAGGCCGAGGGTGGGAGAGTACGCAGAAGTGAAATACCTGTCCGGATGCTGATAGTTCAGATGCCACGGGGATTACTGACATGAACAGGCTAACACCGCAGTAGTTGTTTGGCTTTTTTTCTGACATATAAGTGATTCTTAGTATGGACACACCATGAGATGGTATGAGATGGGTAAAGGACTAGAAACTTTATTACTTACAGGAATGGCAAAAGATTTTCAAGGAAAAGATTTCAAGTAGCCTTTCGAATATGTAAACAACCCCGCAAAACACAAAAGCCAGAAAACTTGAAGGGCTGAGAGCCAGATTTCTTGCCTTCACGTACTTAGTTTATAAAGCAAAGAATAACTTCAATTTTATTTTCAGTATATTGAATTGTACTTGTTACAGAGTGAAACTCTGGTCCTGTTGAAGCTAGTGCTGACTTCCGACTGACTCCAGGGGATCTGTTTTTCCCCTCAGTTTCTTGAAGAAATAAAGTAAATATCAGAAGGGAAAATGCTGCATCTTATTTGCAAGTAGGCATATGCAGGTGTACGTGTAGGTCTGTGGAGCAGTTGCTTGTTAAAGGAATGTGGCAAAGCCAGGCGAATAATCTGGGCCTGGGAAAATCTACAATTTCATTGCTTCCACGCTCAACGTGTCTCATCCTTTGTACCGCTCTGACTCATGGGGAAAGACACCTCGTTTTGTCAAAATCATGGGTTTCTAAATTTTGCTTGGTCTTTAAGATGGCTATGAAAAAAAGACCAAGCCTATGCATAGGATATAAAGTGGTTATAACTAGTAGCACTTGCCTAACTACAATGTTAACTTCTGGCAGCTCCTTAATATTTGCTGATCGCATTTATATGAATGGTGGTGTTTCATATAGAGGAACACCCATTCCATTACTGCATGGAGAATTTACTCACTCAAATTAAAGCCATTAAGCGCCTTCGCATCTCACTCTCGGTGCAGCTAGGTGTGTAGCAATGCAAAGCAGCCGTTCCTATGCGCGATGCGGGCAACGCTGCGATTCCCCACAATCACATTGCAGGGGAAAGAGCCGAAAAAGCCAAAGCTGAGAGAATTACTCAAATAACGTGCTGCGTGAGGGACCTCTGAGGGAGCTGGGGCCAGCAGAGCCGGTTGAAGGCAGCCCGCTCGGGAGCTGGGCAGCCAGGACGCGTTGGCCTGGCCGCTTCCAGCCAGGCGGCTGGGTGAGTCAGCACCCTGCTCCGCCGCCGGAGCGTCTGTTTGAAGTTTTGCACGGAGGACTTAGCAGACAGGCTGCAGCTGTGCTCAACCCTTGTGATACCATCTTGAAGACTGGAGTGACTGTGTGTCCCAGGAGCCTGCCTTTTATCTCTCGGGAGACGCCGGAGAGAGCCCTGCAGGCTGGGCAGCCTCTCTCTTGCCTGCCTGTCGTTTATTTGCAAGGTTCTCCCTGAAGGTTCGGCGTACGGCGGGGTGCAGCCGAGGGGTGACAGCTCTGAAGGAGAGGTGGCGTTTCAGGGCTGCACTGTAAATTCAGTCTTCCCCGCTGCCAGCCATTCCCACAGATACATAGAAAAGATAGGAAGAAAAGGGAAAAGTGTTCAGGGAATTCACATTTCCCGTCCCGGCATTTTTCTCGGTTATATGCGAGGCATCGCACTGAAAAGCATGCACTCCCACCCAGCATGCATACCTCGTTTTAAAGCACCTTTTTTCCATCTTGACAATGTGTTGCAATGTAACACAATGTTCTCAAGCTGTAACTGCTTAAAAGCTATTCTAAATTTCTTCCTGTGTCCATCCCCAGTGCCTTCCCCTACCTTGTCCCTTGAGAAAGTGCATGGTGGTCTAATGTCTGTCTGCATTAGGGAGATCGTATCCTGGCATATGAGTCCTGTGATATTAAACCAGCAAAGCATGTGGATGCTGATAGAGCAGCAAAACTGTGTTCTGCCGTTGTACATCCCAGGAAAGTTATCACCCCTCCCTACCCCGTAGCAAAACAAGTTATGCCAGTAGAGCTGCTTTAGCATACCTACGTGGGTCAGGTATCACAGCTCTCCACCGCCTTGCTGCACATATTTATGCAGCTGGAAGCCTATAGCATAGACCTGCCTCTGGAGCAGATGATGCCTGCAGCAGCACAGTGATTATACGGTTGGGCAGGCCAGCATTTCCAGATGCAGCAGCATTTTTCACTTCCACGTATGAAACAGCAATATTTAAAACCCCTGATCCACCCTTGCATGACCCATTTGCCTTTACTCTCTCCCACATCAGTAGAGTGGAGGAACAGACAAGCTGGTTCCTCCCGTCATCCCTCTAGCAGCACCAGTCGGGAGTTTCAGAGAGGGGATAAACTTCCCTCTAAGGAGCCAATGCATTCTGTAGTCTTTTTTTGAGGAAAATCAAGAGCAGGGCAATTTTTGTTCCTTTGCTGAAGATACTCTCTCCCACCATTCACGAGTTGCTTTTTGTGTGTTGGCCTCTACAAAAGCTGACAGATCGCTGTCGGACAAAAAGGCACGGATTCGTTCTTGCTCGTGCTTAGGTAGCAGTTAGCAGCAACTGTACCCTATCGGAGCAGCTCCAAATGATTGCAGGTCAGCAGTTAAAAAAAACAGTTTGGAATTGGATTAAGGAGATGAAAAACACTTCTAAAAGTGTCGATGCTATATATTTCAGTCAAAAATGTATTTAAAAACCAGTGGATTTAGGGGTCTTGGTTGCCTTGCTGTTCACGGATAAGCGTGAAATATTTTCCGAATATCAATGCCTGCAAGAGCTGTTGCACGGCTGAAGTGAGAGTCTAGCAATCGCTCGTCATAGCTGAAAGCAGCATTTGTTTTTTGCCAGGATGTGTGTAAAAACTGAAACACGTTTCTTTTAAAGCCGTGTTTGTTTCTCCTTTGGCAGACTCCTTGTTTTCCTGCAGACCTCATTCACAACATGTCTGCAAATGCAGTAGCGCAGCTTGTTCAAACGCTCCCGATGCCAGCAAGTCCCTGGTCCTGGCCCCGGCGCTACAGGTGGCAGACAGGACAATTACAGTAGGGAGGCAACTAAAAACTATTATAATTACTTTCACAGCTCGCAGAATTGAATAGAGAAGACTCTGTCTGTGGTATGTCTGCGTTAAACTTGTGGTGGTTGTCTTATTCTATAGCGGGGAGAAGAGCATTATATTCTAGAGAAGGATTAGAGACTGGGCGATTGGCGGTTTTGTTCAGCTCCAGCGGTTTCTGTGCCCTTTAGAACCCGGAATCAAAATCAGATTTAAAAAATACACGTTGGATATGTGGCATATGTGAGTACCTCTTCCTTTCTGTAGGAGGCACGTTAATAACAAAAGGTTGATTGTTAGGAGCACAAGGCAAACGTCTAGCTACGCGAGAATAGCTGACAACTGCTAATGTTTCTATAATCTCATCTGATAAAACCACACAGAGGGAGTAATCGCATGAGGTTTTCATGAAAGGAATGTGCAGCTGGTTTTTCTGGCTTTCCAAATGCAGGCTGCGTTCCCATAAACCGTCCTAGGCAATAATCGTGTTCTCGTTCCCCTCCGAACTTCGCTCTCGATTCAATAGGTCGTTCTGCTTTTGGCTATCGAATACCTTTAGCAAGCTTGTGTCTGGAGGGGTAGTCGCTGCTGAGCACTGCAGATACAGCCGGGTCACAGCGTCAGCAAAGCTGGTGTTTGTGTTAGAGGAAGGTCAGGACGTTTGGCAGACGCAATAACTCACCAGAAGTTACAGCGGAGATGTTTAACTACCCTCTGCTCTGGATAATCCAAAAAATGGGACGGAAACGCAGCAGCGTTGACATAACGAAAGCAATGCAAATTGCTGAAACAAAGAATTAGGAGGTTCAGTTTTGCACAAAGCTTAAGTGAGAAAGCTACACCGATGCAAACGTCGTCATGCCTAAGGACGTTACTTACTCCATTCATGTAGCCTGCTCCTGTTTTTAATGAGCAGGCAGAAGTAGTTAGTTGGCAGGTGAACGGCACAGTCATGGAATAAGTATTAGCTGCCGTGAAATTGAATTCTGCGCTTTTGCGTCTAACGCAAACAGTAGTGCGTGCACAGTGAGTCTCATATTCCCAGGGAAACCAGGGCTGACCTGTAACTGCCCCGGGGAGGAGAGGAGGAAATTAATCTGCTGGATATGGAAGACAGGGCCTTGACACAGCAAGAAGAAAAAAAGAGGCAGAAAAGAGAGGAACGGCTGTATGGTGAGTCAGTGATATTTTGCTGAGTTTATGCATGTGTTTATTTTCTGGGTGTGATATCTGAATTAAACATTAGATGTACCTCAATAATGGATACATGTACATAGTGCTGTGCGTTCTCAGCTACTGAGACACACACGCACACGCAACCACAAGAAACAACAGTAAAAGAAGGCTATTAAGGCTGCAAAGTCAATTGTTTAGAAATTAAGAAGTGCCACGATTCAGACTATCTGAGCAATCCTATTTCTTGCTTTCTTTGTGTTTATGCATCATAATCCAATTTTTATTTACATGACAACAGTGTTTTTTTTTTTCCTATAGGGCACCTGCCTCAGGATGGACAGCATGCACTCTGCAAGAAAGCAGCATTCCCCAGTTCAGTGCAAGTGTTATTTACTGCATGCTGTCCAGCCCCAGCCCTGGCGCTAAGGAAGAATTATCCCTTAGGAGGTTTCCTGCGGAGCTCATCACCAGCACTGATCACCAGTCTGAGTGCTTCGCACCATTAACTATTTAGTTTTTATCTCTGAGGTGCGTACAACTCCCACAGAGAGAAGGTGGTAAAACACAACAGCAAAAGCAAAACACCATCTGTCTATTATGGAGTCGCCGACTGGAAGTGCTGAGGAGCTGATTTTCCAGACAGCTTAATGTTATACAGCACTTTGTGTGTTCCCAGTACAGTTCCCACTGACTTCAGTCACAGCTGTGGATGCTCAGCGCTGCGTTTCAGACTTCCATAATGCCAGGCCGGTCACTCAGAAGAGGAAAGAGCATGCAAATAGTGGTCATTAGAGCAAATGCAGGTTGAAGTGATATGCCTGGATTTCTGTGACTGAAGCCCTTATCGAATTCAGTTTCCCATGTAGCCTTCAACTGCCGGAAGCGTTACGTATTAATTTCACTTCTTGTAATCCTCTGTCTCGCTCATTTTAAAGCTTCCAACTTTTGCAACAGCTGAAGCAGGGATCCGACACTAACCTCCTTTACTTCACAATCTCAAGTTTTTAATCTTTTTTCAGACTGATATCCATTTGGGCCGTCAGCATGGGTGCAATGTTTGGTGCACACCTCTGCTCCCTCAGCTCATGAAAATAACTGCTCTGAACTGATCTCCTCCAGCAAACACTCACTAGGGGGGATGCAGAATTGCATCTGAACATCCCAAGTGTTTGCCAAGAGCAGGTAAAAGATGAGACGCAGGAACTGAATTTCGTTCTCAGCTGAAGGGGCCAGGAGGGGAAAACAGTGGGCAGAGTTTCTTTGGCCAGTCGCCACTTTGCTTTTCCCTTTCAGTCACCATCCCATCCAGCTTGTTCCAGTCCTGTTTTATCCCCCCCCCCCCACTTTTTTTTCCTAGCTTATCCCCATCTCAGCCTATCCCAATCACAGTGCCATACCCAGGCAATCCTGTTCAGCTCCCTCCGCACCCTTGTCCAGATGGTCTCTCCCTGCTTGCACCTCTATTCATGTCACCCCTTTGGTTCCAGTCCTAGTGGCCAGGAGCTGTGCTTGATAGTCCTTTAACGAAATCCAAAGGCAGTCAGAAACGAGCCGACAGCAAAGCAAATCTGTCAGGCGCTTTGTTTCAAAGAAGTGATTCTTCACCACCGCATCCATCCCCTGTCCTAGTAACTCATCCAGTCTCAGGGTGCCCCGTAACTCTGTCCTGGCCTCTGTGCCTGGCCTGGACCAATTCTGTTCCACTCTCTACAAATCCCTTCCAGGTTTGTCCTCATTTTCTCCTAGTTCTTCTGCCTGCTGCACTGATTCCCAGGTCTTCTCTGCCTGCCCAGCCGGCTCTTTCTTTAGCTCTTAGTGCCACTCTTTGCCTACACAGTTTTTTTTCCCTGTAGATAGTTCCCAGTTTTAGTTTCTCCCCATCTTTTCTCTGGGCTTTTTGGGCCAATTTTCTCTCAACTCTAGTACAGCCAAAGGCTTGTCTCCCCTGCACCTTGCACAGCAAACTCTAACACAGGTGGCCCTGAATACCTTCACCGCGCCCTTTATTTTTTGCCCGTTCTTTGGCGTGGCTTTTACTGGAGCCAAATGGGGCCAATGGTCTCCTGAGGCTGATGACAGCACTGCTCAACAAAATGGTCAGTCGATGAGCCATCAGATCCATACCTCCCACTTTCCCCTGATGGGGATCTGATTTCTGCAGTGCGCCTGCGCTCTGCCTTGCCGTGATGGGTGAGATCTGAGGCCGTTCCCAAACCTGCTTCTCTCATCCTCTTAAACACGTAACTTGGCTGCCAAGTCACAGAAATATACTTGGCAGCCTGCAATAGCAACTGGAAACACAACATACACAATATGATTGTCAAAAAAAGGTCACTGTAGAGAACAGAGTTGGAGCTGAATTTTCGGGTGGTGGTGGTGGGGGGGGGGTTGAGATTCTTCATGGAGTGATTGTGTTTGCGTGGGTAAACCATAAAGAGTATTCCCAGAAGCAAAGATGCAATGTCTGAGAGGCTATGGAAGAGCAGGAAGTTAGGGACAAGAAGCAGAGTGTTTCATGGAAATTTGCTCTCCCCACATTACTGACCCTATATTCTTCCTCATGGTGATGACAATCTCAGTGTTGCTTTCAGGAGTGTTTTCTGTAGTTAAAAGCTGCTGCGAAAATGCATGGTGTCAACTTTAAGAACTGAAAGTACAGGAAATATTCCTTCTCTCTTACTAACCTGACCTGTCTAAAAGTCTTAGATCAGGTATTTTCACCACTTCAAAGCACACACGGGGTCTAATGTAGCTGTACCGGCAAAATTGTCCCAGGCTGTAGTTTTCAAGTTACAGCTGAGCTGATCTACTGAGAGGTATGATCTTGCCTCTGTTCCCTTACCTTCTTCTGGGTCTTCTCTGGCCCTTCCTGACTCTACAGCGAACTGGTGCAAAGCACTAAATCAACAGAAAACTACTCATTTATTTTTGCTGGATTGCTCTTCTGACAGTTTGGGGAGCCGCCTTGCTACGAGGACAGAGAAGACTGAGCGTCAAGCCAGGATAAATGATGGGAAAACTTGAATGGGAGCAGGAATGCCCCTTTCATCAACACCTAGCTATTATATTGGCTTAGCTGTAGCACAGAACCTCACCCATTGTGTAGACTTGGTTTCTACTGACAAAAAAGGACTTTTGTCGGTAGAGTTTGTACTGATTTTTGGGGCAACTTAAGCAGCATCAATTATGACACGGCTCCACCGTGAATGGCAGTACTGCTATCTATGCCAGTGTGCTAGATTTTCTGCTTGCACAACACTTCGACGATATCCCAAATATTTAAAACGCTTCCTCGAAATCATGCCCTTAAACAACCTGCCTTAGCGTATGGGAATTATTTTCAGGCAGAACTTGCAAATCTTGAGCTGATCGCTTCTGTACGGACTTTGGTCATGTCACAGGAGACCCTAGGACTTAGTAAATATACTTTTCAGTCATGTAAAGTCCCAAGCTAAAGTATGTTTAACCTTCAGAGCACTGCACAGACACCAATGGCCATTAGAGAGGGAATGGGTGCCCATGGTAGTCCTGCAAATCCTGTGCCAGGAACCAGGAAAACTTCTGCAGCTCTCTACCTTCCAGGAACCCAGTAAACCCGAGTGAGTGACCACTGAGGTTTTACTGCATGGAAAAGTCCCAGTGTGCAGAGTGGACTGGAGGGGGTTTGCGTGCTGGGATTTATAGTTTCCAGGGTGCAGGAGGCTGTTACCAGGAGACTGCTGTAAACAGTGCCAGGAGCTGGGCTGTTCCCGCGCTCCCACCAGCCTTCCCGCAAGCACCATGCAGCCTGTAAGTCTCCCCAGCTCCTCCAGCTCCCATGGCCGCTGCTGTGGCTCACATCTGCCCCTGCTCTAGAGCCTCACAGTGTATTATAAAAAAGAGATTTGGGGTCCTGTTTGCTGAACAGGCTGAAAATAGACTAGTGCTTCTTAGAGTTTCTCCAATCCGTGTTGGTTACGTCCTTCTCGTGTGCCTATCCCAAAGGTGGATGGAGCTTCAAAGTGGTTTGCAGGGGTGAAGGGCCTGTCCAAGCTCTAGAAATCGCAGTGAGGCTAAACCAGGTCATTGGCAGAGGGGGCAGAGGGGTAAAAGACACTCAGTGATTTTTTTTGTTTTTTCCTCACTAAGGAAGATGTATGTGTGCAGCTCTATGATGCCTGCGGTTTGTTTTGGATTGAAGTGAGAACTGGGCTGCGTGTGTGCAGTGGGGGATATTATTGGAGAACATTTCTGCAAACCTGAGTCAGAACTTGGGGGTTTTCCTCCCAGTTCCTCTGATGTTCTTAGTGTCCGGCGCCCCAAGGGCTGGGGCCTCCCCTGGGCAGGTGGTTGCCTGTGGGTAGAGGTCTGGATCAGGCCCATGATGGGACTGGAGACTGGCAGCACTGCGGCATCGCGGGGCTGGGACTGATGGCCCCGGGCTGGGCTGAAATGGGGGCTGGGGGGGGGTGGAGGCCTGGGGTGGGCAGGGACAGGCAAGGCTGGGGGGTGCCTGCAGGGCCCTGACATTTGGGAAGCGACCTGAGACCTTTGTGTCTCAAGTTCTGCGTGTTCAAAAACGTTTAAAGATACTTACAGGAAGGATAGGAGGCCTCATTCGAGAGCTTCCCATAGAAGGTGTTCATCCGTATCGCTCACAACCACTGGCTATTCCTTTTTGAAAACAAAAATACAAGATAAAATTTCCTGTTTGGCTTAAATGAGTACTCATCACTCATCCACGTTAGTGAGAAGCTGCTGAGTTACGGTTTGAAGACATCGGAGTGGTATTTTCTCCTTCTTGTTATGCTCTGCGATACCACCGCGTTTTCTGTTTTTCTCTCGTAGTTCATAATCCCTTGTACGTCACATAAAGACACTGCCTTCGCCTAGGCCTTTCCATCTGAGAACTGTAAACCAGCACTAGAAAGTTGGAATTGTGGACTAGAACAGACAAGATTAAATAATCACTTTTTGCCAGGGGATGAGAGTCATGGTTCCCGCGTATTCAGCTCGGTGGTCTAACCGTTGCATGGGTTGCCTGCTGCTGACGTGAGATGATTCTAGTGTTTCACATTCATCGTTCTGCGACCAATTTAGATTGAGCAAGGATTGGTGAGAGCCTTGTGGCGGTCTGTCTGAATGGGAACTGCCAAGCGTTACAGAAAGCCTCAGTGTTTCCCTTGGTTTCAATTTATAGGTAGAAAAAGGATTTCAGCAAAAAGGTTAATTTTATTTTGAAGGTGACCTGCAAACAATTGTTAAGGGTTTGCAAGGCTTTCTTGTGAATTAGGTAACAGAAGGACTAGTGGGTTTCATTTATTTCCAGAGAGATTTTTTTTTCCTTTTTAATGTATGAATACTGTAAAGTCCTGTTCCTTGTAGTGTTGTTTGGTGTTCCCTGAAGGGTCTAACTGGTCTTTATTGTAAATTCTTAAAAAAAATCAGTAAAATTCATGCATAACCCATTACATTTTTAAGCAAAGGTTTCCCTTCTCCTGATATTTAGTCACCAAAACTGCATAAATATTATCAGAAACAAATAAAAGCATTGTGCCGCATAATGCATGACTCCATTTGATTTCTCAGTCTTTAGTGGTTCACTGACTATCAAAGAACTGAAATTCCTTAGCAAACTTTCAATTATTTCTTTGTAACCTGAAAGAAGTATAGAACGATAGATGCCCATTTTTATAGATGCCTGTTTTTCTCTTTCTTGTGTTGTCAGCGTTTTATCTCAAAGAACTTCTGTTTGACCAACTCATGAGCAAACAAGGTGTGGGTGAAAGGCAGGTTTAAGAGATATATAAAGTAGTCAATATGCACAGTGCTTGTATTGTAAATATTTTGTTAAGTCGGGCTGAGAATATATGTGAAAATTTTATAACATGCACTCTGTGTGCTGCTTTTTTTGCAGATGATAAAACTAACCCCAGGCGTGTGGTACTGGAATGATGATACTAACAGACTCGAATTTGCAAGGTAAAAGAATGACATTCAGTTTAAAATTATGCAGATTTAGGTCTTGATTCAGCAGTTCCAAGTAAGGTAAAGTCAGAGTCTAATCATATTTTGCCTGAACATCGACTGCAGGATGAAGTCTTACATACTTGTTTTTTTTTTTTAATTGCGAGTTAAAAGCTCCTTAGCTTTTGCTCTGTGGCATTTATGCCATCATTTTAAAGGAGAAAAAAGGCCGACACAGAAATATGAGATTTACTCCATTCGGCTCTCAAGCTGAATCCACTGCAGAGGATTTGCTTAAAGTGAGGGCCAGATGCCATCCCTGGTGTCCCTAGATGGGGGTCCACTGAAGTCCGTGAACTGATGGTCACGATGCCAGTGTTTTGTTTGACCCTGCATACTGGTGAGCACCAGAGGACTGCAAAGCTTTAGGGAAACCACTATATCCAACTGTGCTTTAAATTTCTGTGGCAGTTGTGGATTTAGACATTATCAGGCCCTTAAAAATGACTATACATTTGAACCAACTGGGAAAAATCCCAGTACCCAAACTATATCCTCCCCTGCTCTCTTCTGCAGTGCTGGGCAGGGAGTGCCGCAGAGCGTGGTCTCCACTGCTGCCTCCCTGCCTGGCCAGGCATTTTCCAAGCCTTCGTCATGGTGGAGCCGGGCCGCTCACCTCGTCCCTGGGGGCACAGCGATTGCAGACGCCTTTCACGGGCTGAGTCTGAGCAGCTCTAGCCAGCCTCTTTGTCCGGCTTGGGACGCTGCTGACTGTCTGGTGGTTCGCCAGGGATGGACCTGAGTTCACCAGTTACTTCTGCTCCTCTTTTCCTGCGACGATCCCAGAGAAAAGCTCTGGTCTTGAACAGTGTATACTTAAAATCTATTTTCTGAGGCAAAACGCTGTCCTACCTTCCGGCTAATTTTAGAAGGAACAGATAAGAGTTTTTGAGTCCAGAACAACCAACTGTCCTTCCTGGACACTAATTTCAGGTAACAGATAGCGGTGGGATATTATGAAATTTGCAGATATATTTACTCCTTTAAAGCCTGACTGTGAAGAAAAAAGCTTACTTAGAGACGATATCATTTCTGGCTAAACACAGAATGGGGAAGTAAGAGAACATCCACGGGGGGAAGGAACTAGCTGAGCTGAAGGCCAAGAGTGTAGGTTTGCGTAGCAATTGACTGTTTATAAATGTAGGCTGGACGTTAAAAGAAGGTGGCTATTCATTGGTGTTGTCAGGACTAGAATAGTGGGGATAAAGCCACCTGGGACATTGATTACTTGAAGGGTTTCTACAACACAGTACTTAGACGATGGCAGCAGACAGAGCAGGAGGACCCTGGGAAGCCTCTTTACTCTTTGCTTCTCAGTTTTTGAAAGGAATGTCTTACATTGACCTCACCACAATCCGGAGGTTAGATGTAGGCCCGCAGATACGTGCCTTTGTATCATGGGATACCGCCCTCTTCGCATTGCTGCTAGTGATTGAAAGTCATGCTGCTGAATGTTCGCACTCTGTATTCCAGCTTCAACCCAGAAGCTAAGGAACGCCTTAAGGAAGGAAAAGATCACCCTCAGGAAATGGGATGCGAGGCATTAAACAGGTATTTCAGTTCAACTAACCTATCTCAAAAAGAAGCCGCATTATTTGGGTGGGAATATTTTTGTCCATTGTTGAGGATCATGTCTGAACAAAACACATGAAACAGGAAGTCACCTGTTGTTTCAGGAGGGTGGATGAGTGGTCTGAACACGGAAACAGAGCCAGACATGCCTGATGTTGAATGCTAGCTCAGGCGCTAGCTTGGTATGACTGTGGTAAAGTCATTCAACATCTTTGCTGCTGTTTCCAGATTGCTCAGAATGAGGTAATAATTCTCATCTACATAGAAAGAGTATTGTGAGGTTATTAATTCATCTTTGTAAGGCACTTCAAAGATTGAAGTATTATTATTGTTATTAATTTTATAAATTCACAGCCTGGTGTAGTTGACTTTCATCCATTACTTAAACCCTCTTTGATCTAAGTAACATAGTTGCAATTTATTATATTAGCAACTAAAAGAGCAACTTCAGAAGCAACCTTAAGAGGTGAAATGCCCTGCTTCTCTGAACATTCCCAGCCTGTTTTGTGGCTGTAATCATTGAACGTTTGGGATATCTGCTAAACACTATTTTGCTGCCCGTCCTGTTGAAACAGAGGGCAATGAAAAGAGTACATACCAGTTAGATTATTCTCTGACTGGAACCGACACTGTGCCCTGAAATGCTGTCTCCTTAAATGCTGTGTGTTGGTCATCTACTAGCATCTTTCAAGATGTATGCACTGCATTGTTCACTGGAAGAAGGCTGGCTGAACAAGAAGGAAAATCTCGTAGGCTGTCAAAGCGAGTACAACACGAATATGTGACATTGGATGATGTCAAATGTGAGTAATTGCTGGTATTAGATCTCAGCAAGGCATCACCCATATAGGTTAGAAAACAATCTCTACTAATAGCTAAACATTTTTTAGAGGAAATACCGTTTTTCTGTTCTGTATGTTTTCAGATGCTGCTTTACGTTTGAGACAAAAAAGTGAGGCACATCGCATGCTATCGCTTAAAGCAGCTATGAGGTACGTCATTTAGAATTTGTTTCGGGAATTAGATGTGTGAAGCTGGCAGTGAAGGGGTTAGGGTTTATAAGAAGTAGAAAATAAAATAGCAGCGATTTAAAATATCTTGTCTATGCTGCTCAGTGGGAAACAATACCAAATGCATTTCATCCTTGAGATGTGCAGAGAAATAATCCCATCGCTTGCTTGAAAGTCTTCCACTGGGTTAGCTACAGGCAAGCTATGACTTAGGCCTAAATATTCAAAGGTTGCTATCCATCTTACTCCAAATTAAATTCCATGTTTGCCAGAGCATCAGTGACACTGGATGCACCAGGAGTGCCTAAGACAGCCGGGATTCCCCGCTGCCTTCTTGTGCTGCTGCTGTTCCAATCAGAGCTGCAGAGCTCATTAATTGCTGCTGTTACTTATCAGCATTAGTCCTTTAAGTGCTAAGAGCAAGGAGGCAGCTGGGAGAGCATTTTATCCCAGAGGCATGTCTCTGCGATCAGCAGGGCAGCACAGTGGCTACGCTGCCTTTGATTTAGGAGTGTGTCCGTAGACCTTGTTGAGCCTTAGACGTACTATCCTTCAAGAAGGGGCGAGGTATCTCTTGTGTCCCACTTGCTCCTCTGAATGTGAATGCCACCCTTTCGGTGTGTTTAGTGCAGAAAAGGTGCTTGCTGGGAGTATGTCTGGTCATATCCAGTTCAATTCACTCTTTAGCCTGTCTTTTGGACTCTTAACAGTTCTCTAAAAGCCTTCAGACTCTTACTGTGGGATGCAGTGCTTGCTACAAATAGGTCTAGACTGTATAGATAGTATTTGATATACTATAGGCCCCTGAGCAGAGACTTTGTTCTCTTTCCTAATAGCCTGGTGGTGTTTGTATCTGCAAATCTGTAGATATCGTGGTGACCTTTCTACCTTCCATTTAGGAATAAGAGGCTAGACGCATTCCTCATGGCCCTGATTTTATACTTATCTTTTTACTTGGAAAAAATTACCCTGGAAAAGACACCCAAAACTCCAGTTTCGTGAGTATGAAACTTTACTGGTGTAACGACACATGACATGTCCCAGCAAACCTGGAATCATGGGCCGGTCTTTCACGTCAGAGTCAGTGGGATCCTGCATACAAGCAAAGACTACTTGCATGAGCAAAGACTGCATAACAGGGCTTGGCCTGTGTGTAGTCTAGGTTTGTTATCGCTGACTTAGTTCTAATGCTTGGAGCTAAAGCCACAAGCATATATTGGCCCAGCCTATATATGGAAGGCTACAGGGAATAACCCCTTAGTCTTACCCTTTATCTCCCTTGCCCCTTTGGCCTGTGTGCTCTCCGGGACAGAGGCTCCTATGACTATGTAAAGAGACAGATTTTCTGGGAGGGTTTGAACGCCACTTTCCCTCAGCCTTGCCCTGAGTCGTGTGCACTGTGGTTTATGTGATGTGGCAGCATCCTAGTCCCCATTTCAAGATGGTGGCTGGATCCAGCCTCGCTGCAATGGGGTCACCAAATAATTTGGCTCATCGAGGTAACACCGCAATCTCAATAAATTGTTACTGCAACTACAAATGCTAAATCTATATGACTGCCCTGGGCTGAATTACTATCCCTTATTGCCATTTCCCAGTAATAACATTAACATCCAGTCATATCTGCTTGCAGTACGGAGCATCAGATAATCATATCTGAGTTTGCTGGGTGTTAATTTGTGCTGTGGGTCACATTGCTTTAAGATTCCTTTCTAAATACTTTGCAAAGCAGGCTCGGATGACTCCTAGGTGCTACCAACATGTTTCAACAGGAGAAATATATGCTAGGAAAGCAGTTCCCAAGTAAGGGTGTGTGACCACAGCTGCTGCCTTGCAAAGTGGAAGTGGGGATGGCAGCGGAACAGTTTAGGAGCTGCTGTGTTAGAGGGTTATATGCCTTGGGAGAAGGTATTACTGAGTTACAAACCATGATTATGAGAAACCCTAATGGTCTGCTGAACTCTTTAATAGTCTCTGAAAATTGATTGACCATTTTATTAAAACACCTAATACTTACTTACTTCCCAGTTCATGAAGCCTTGATATAGAGAGGGGCTGATTTATCCGGATTGAAGAAAAGATTGTTGGAGGATTGGTGGCCTTAGGGAATTTACTTGCTCCACATCCCGAGATTGTCAAGTGTTTCTCTCACTGTGCAAAGAACAATTCGTAAATAAAGAAAACCATGAATGTAATTTCATATACAAAGGTCCTAGATTCAGCAGAGGTGCATCAGGCTGCAGTTTACAAAATGACTCCTTGCTCTCGGCTGGTAAAGCACAGGAAGGCAACTCCGTGGGCCGTTACAGCTCAAAACGGCTCGTATCATTGACTGGGGTTGCAAATGCGGATACAAACAGACTGAAACAAAGATAAGTTTGGACCTATTGCAATACAGGGTTATGCTTCCTGTATCCAGGGGGCTCTGGTTACTAGCTATCAGCTACAAGCATTGGATAATCCCTGCCAGGAGAGACTTTTCGCTGTGTTCTGCTATGTGATACTTTCCAAATGACTCCTGTTCTTTGGTGGGAAATATGTACCAACTCTGAGATTCCCAAAAGGATATTCTATGATACTATTTTATTTAGATTTATTGCCTCCCCGAAGGGAAGGCGACTTGTTTGTCAGAGTTACCTGCATACAGTGCAATGTCAGAGAAACTTAAGGAAGAGACACTTACTGTGCAGGAGCAGAAAGTTAGGATATTGATCTTCTAAACTATAAATACAAGGAAGGAAAATAAAATGGCAAAAGGCAATTTTAGATCCTCCTTAACGCTGAAGTTCCTCCTTAATTGTTCTAGCATCTTAGCTGACTTGGAGGAGTGAGGAGGCAGCAGTCAAGCTGGGAACAGCCTTCTGCCATTTCACCTTCTTTTGCTGTTCAAAATATTGCATCTCCTCTATTTTCCCTCTGGTCTAATTCTGAACTTGGTGTAGGCTCCATTTAAAATCAAATACAGTGAGTACTCTCTTTCCCCTTCTGTGGATATCTTCCTTGATTTTACCATCTAGAAGGTATTTTTTACTGAGTTCATTTTTAGCTTAAATGATTGCCCTGTTGGTTATGACATTTTGAGACTTGTCACAGTACTTTATAACGTATGGATCTGAACAAGATCAAATGGTTATAAATTGTACAGGGATAAACTGAGATTGGACATTGAGAAGGTTTCTGACCATCTGAGGAGTAACGTTCTGGAACGGTCTTCTGTTACGAAATAATGCGTTGGAGAAGAAAAGTCCATTTTCCTAAAGATGCAGTTCTATGAGCCTGCAAAAGGGATTTTGTAGCTACATAATAGAATCATGGTGACAGAAAATTACATTTGTGATAAGAATCCTTACATATGTGATGTGCTGGTGTATTTGAGAGGATGTGAAAAAAGAAGACTGGATAGCCATTTCATTTCCTATGTCTATCTCACATAAATCCCATGTTTAGGGCTTTTGTTAGTTGTCTGTTCAGGAAGAATACTCCCTCCTCCTCCCCCCAAGAAATAATTTCATTTCAGAGGCTTCTTCACCTTCCTATGTAGTCCTCGTTATTTGCCACAAATAGGGACAGACTGTAGGCAAGACGTGCTGGTACTTTTCCATGTGTTTGGTTGTTGACACCTGTAATTCGCTCATAGCTAAACTGATAGATTTGGCCTCAAATGGAAAATTTTCGCCTAGATAACACTGGTAAGTACCATTGTGCTTTTTTCTGTCACCTGCTGCAGCATGGGATATAGCCTCTTCCTAGGAGCATCAGGGAGTTCTGTGTATCAAACTCCCTCCTGCCACAAGGACCTAGGCCACTGGTACTATCTTTCATTCCCACTGCTCGCATCCTCTAGCATATTCATGAAAGACAAAATAGCTCCACTATAAAGTCTGTTGAAAGATTTTGGAAAGGCTTTTGTGGCTAATTCTGGGTGGGGTGAGGATATACAGAGTGGAAGTTATTTGGCTCCTAAGTTAGGCCCCTAGCCCATGATTACTAGGAGACTGGGCTTGGTAGCCCATCTGGTGCTTTTTCAGCCCGATAGTCCTATACGGCAGACACATCCAATGGCTCTGCCGTCTTTGACCGATTCCGGCCCTTGCAGACCACATGTGTGACCTAGGAACATAGGAAAAAAATGCTGTTTATTACTGCTCCTGGTTTGTGCGTTTTGGGATTCCTGCTCTTTGGGCTGCCTAGGATAGATGCCAGCTCATCTGTTGTGGTTATTACTGTCCCCAGGGAGCCAGGCCTGATGGTCTGAATAGCTCCTCACTGTCTTGAACCAAGACACGGCAGCAGTATCAGTATTCATGGTGCCTCAGTAGACAGTCTAAGACAGTCCTTGCCGAAGAAGTCATTGCTTCTGTGCATTAAACTTACTTATATTGGAAGGAGTACATATCAGATAAAGTCAAGATGAATCTAGACATCTTTGACTTTTTGTTACCTTATCTTTGATTGATGCAATGCTGACTTTTTGTAAATCCAAGCCTGAGGCTTCTCTGGCTTCCTCTAGATTCAGCAATTATCTTGTAACTAACTTCAAAAACAACCAGCCAGTTTTCCAAAGCAGTGGGCATGAGGCATTCCCCCTCACTGGAGACAGCTTGGGAGTATTCCCCTCTGAAATATGTGACTCTAAGAACAAAAACTAACCAGTAGTAAATGAGACAGGACTGGAACATGGGCTATTATTTTGCCCTGTATTTTCTTTTCCACTCAGTTTCTATTCGTTTCTGCCTCCAACCCCTTCGTGTCTATTGAGGAAAATCAACTGAATTTTATTAGCAATTATCCTTGAGAAGCCCAGAGTAATTGCCCTAATTATTAGAGGTGGGTCTTGTAGAAAGCTTTAGACCTTGAGGCCATCAGGGATGGGACAGATAGAAACAACCCTCCTGAACGTGAAAGGAGGCTGGAGACTTTCAGGCCTGCAGCGCTCCCAGGCACCGGGAGACAATCTGGTGGATTACAGGGGAAGCAGAGGAAAAAGAAAGCTCTTTGGCTTGCTATTTCCTTAGTGTTTGATCTGAACTGGTTTAAAATACAGGCTTGTGGTGTCAGCCTTTCCTGTTTAGAGGCAGTTCCAAAGGTGCTTCGTGTGCCTTTTTGAAGAGGAGTACCGTCTCTGAATGAACCGGACCTGCTGCTTTAGGCTGCCCAATGGCAGAGTGTGCACCCAGAGATATCTCAGTGCACCTCCAGGGCTTTTATGTAGGCTGCGAGAAGTGTTCATAAGCTATATGGGATCAAAGAAGGCAACCTGACAGGCTGTAGGCATGGAGCTTATAAGCTCTACAGGGCAGGAGAGACTGTCTGGGCCCAAGCCCCAGGTCTTGTGGCCCCACCAACTTTGAAAAGCTGCACTGAAGGTGTCTAAACTCAGTCTTGCTGCAAAGGGGTCCCCTGAAGTTGGTGTCATATAGTGTGGTGTGCCCCAAAACTGCTCTTACTTCTTAGGAACAGTCACTCTTTCTAGCGTTCCTTCTATTCAAAACACCTTCCCTAAAAATGTTATTTTCTTTCCAATTTAAACAGGACCACCGTTTTGTCAGAGAAGAAAGAAAAAGAATACGTCCTGGCAAAGTTAGAAGTGGCCAGGATTCACCTAGCCAAGGTGTACTGTGACCTTATCCTCGGAGAAGGCATGGCAGAGCACCACCACATGTCTTGTGGAAAGTAAGCCACAGAAAGCTTTCCCTTCTGGCAACCAGGTGCTGCAGCAGCCCAAAGCCTTTTGTGAGTGACAGAAGTGAATGCCCAAGGCAACAAATGTCTTTGTGGACCAAGGAAACTCACGGGGCACAGGGACCGTGAGGCCGAGAGTGTCCTGATCTCCCTCAGCTCCAGCTGGTAACTGACTCCAAAAGTACTTCTGGTGAGCTGCTGCCAACTGATCTGGCCGCAACAAGTTGCAGCAGGGCACAGGTTACCAGGTTGGAAAGCTCTAGGCCATGTATATTGAAGCCTTCCTAGATATACAGGCCGTGAACCTTTGATGGGTTCAGCGCAGTCAGCAGGGTAAAAAGCAGTGCCAGCCCTGGATCTCAGCCCTGCCACTTCCACTTACTGAATCTTAAAGGCAAATGGTATAAGAAGGACAGCATGCTCATGTACCTGCTGGTTGCCACTGACCACTGCTTTAATTTCCTCTTATGTCAAGTCTGGGAAGTCATAAGAGTACTGGCAAGTGAAGGAGACCATGTTCCTTAAAGGCAGCAAATGAAGGCAGTGGAGAGAAGAAGAGGTTGTTCTTGCAAATCTTGGGCACCGGATGTGTAGATCTCCTTCCTCTGAGCAGAAGACAATGCATTATTTTCTCAGAGTGGTGGACACCAGTTGCTCTTTAGATGCCATGGACCCAGTGAAGAACTGAGAGGGAAGAGAAAACTGTAGTGGGAATTAAAAAAGAAACTGAAGCAGGTGGAAGTGGATGGGAGGATGTTTGTAAAGTCAGAGGAACCAAGGGAATGATGAGGGCTGGAGACTGACAGACAAGAAGAGGGGAGGGGTTTAACCAGAGATGAAAGCAAAAAGGGATAGCTCTGTTGTTTCTTCACTCACCTGTATTGCCTGGTGGGTGCAAATGTGCAAGATGTAGGCAAGAAAGAGGACTAGTGGCAAAAAACAGCAGTAGGGGTTAGAGACTGGCAGTGGGTTGGGATGTTGGTGTCCAGGCTGTAAAGACACAGGCTGGAAGAGGGCTGTGTCTTGAAGTGTTTCTGATGTAAGGTGCTGTACGAAGAGAGACCTCACTAAGTTACTCATAGGAGGGTGGTAGCTGACTACAGCTGTCTTCAGAGTTAGACTAATGCTGAGTATGTTACAATACATGGCACTTCCCATGCCATATTGCGATGACATAAATATAATCTCTTCCAGGATGACTCAGTTTAGCTGTAAATGTTATCGGGATACTCCCAGTCCATTATGTAAACTGCCAAAACCAAAAGCTAAGGGATAGAACTGATTAAAGCTCTTAATTATAAAAGCTAGTTAAGAATTGTTTGAGTGCATGTGTTTTCGGATGGAAAAGGTCTTTTGTCAAAAGGGAAACTGTGACAAGGATTATTTTTGATGACTTTCTTTTGACCTGAAAAATGTTTAGATGAAAAAGCTGAGAAAGTACTGCTAATGTACCACTCCCACTTTTACCATGTTTTATTACAGCCCAACCAAAATGCCTTTAGGTTTAGGATGGTGTTGAAGCTTTTACTTTTTCATTCTGATTCACCACTGCAACATTTTAATGAAATCTTACCCTGTGCTAGGAAACTGTTTTCCCTTCTAGATCTGCCAAATCTCTATGTGTTCATATGAAATCATGGATTGTTCATGTACATGTTCTCTCCAACAGTTTAAAAAGGGATACTCAAACGGAGAACCTCTTCAGCTTAGCAATTTACATGTTTTGTAAAATGCAGCATAAAAATCCGGTCTTGATATTATCCCAGACTGGAATTTGAGTGAGTTCCTCCAGACCTGTTATTTGTGTGTGTTAGCATTAGTCCTTTTGTGTCTTCAATGCTAAGGAAGGAATAGGTGTGTCTGGCTTTCTCCTTTTAAGTTGATGGGGTTGTGCAACCTTTATGTGGTGCCAGCTTCCTTGTGGGCATTGTCATAATGGGAAAAATAAAGTGTGTTCCCAAAGCTGCATACATCAATGGCACAAACACAGCCGAGTCAGCCCTTACTGATCCTTGAAGCTGGTTTGATCCATGGGCAATTAGAGTCACAGCTGTGGTCAAGAGAGCTGCTAAAATGGCACAGGAAGCATTTCTTCCCCACGTGCCCCTATATAGAATGGTACTGGTAGGTGTTTGAAGCCACTGTCTTCTTAAATCCAAACCCTATGCTTAACGCAGTGTCTGCCCTCGGCTGCACTGTCCTCCTCTTTAATGCATGAATTCCTCCCGTCACCCTATCAGCTCTAAGAAATCACTGTTACTGTATCTCTAGAAGGTATGATGCTCTTCGCTCACTCGTTCACATGTGTCTTGCAAGTTCTGTCCTGAATGTTGTTGCAAGTTTGGTGTTTCCCTAACCGTTTCTGTATTTTCCTAAGTAGTGAGCAACTGAGCCCTAGACGTGGGAGGCAGGAAATTTTACTTCAAGCAGTTGTCTTAGCTTAGTACCTCACCCTAGGAAAGAAAGCACTGGGGCAAGAAGGGTGGAGACCCCTAGCCTTATTTGGCTCTAATTATTACTGTTTGTTCCTGTTGCTGGCCTCCACACAGGTTTCTCTGACTGCTGAAGCAGGAGCTGGTTCAAAGATAGTGCAAAGATGTGTAATGCTAAAAGACGAAGCCGGTTTTTACAGCTGAAGCTGGTTTAAGAAGCCAGGGTCACATTAGGTTCTTCCACTGTGGTATTTTGAAGACAGAATACTGTGTGATTCATAAGGAATCAAACGCATCCAAGTTTTTTGGGAGATTCTGCTTTGGCAAAGGGCCATGCCATGCTTGCAGAGTGAGGCTTCTTTTCCCTTGTTCAATATGTGGGGTCTGGGATCTCAGCTGAACTGTCAGCAGAAGTGGAATTGGTGGGCGACAGGGAGATATGTGATCCTATTGATCAAAGTATCAATATAGAAAAGCCACAGGATGGTTAATAGAGGTATGGGGCTGAAAAGACATAACCTTCATTGTCTGCTCTGCATTGATGTTTCTGGGGTGATGACAGCTGGGGATACCATTTTGGAACAACTGTTCTTGATGTTGTCAGGAAGGTAAGGGACATTTCAGGAGGTGGTGAATTGACAGAGATACAGGGCTTCCTGCGCATCTCTCAGGACCTAACAAGATCTGTGGGGATCTCTGGGCTTACAGGGGAAATTGCTTTCCCTTCCACGAGGGTGAGCGTGCCACCTCCAAGAGAACTGAGTGGCTGCTGGGATGTGTTCGTCACCTTCCACTTTGAGAACAGTTTCCATGATGGACCATCATTTGGTTTTGTGTGAGAATCCCTGGGCTCAAGTGGGCGGTGAGATCATCTCTTGGGCTTCCACTGGGCAAGCTGCTGCTTCTTTAACAAAGGCTCTTTGTCATTCTTGTGCATGCTTTACATTTCTTCTTGGAGATCCATCAGTTATCTCCCTCCTGATTTTTAAGTATATTGTCTCAGCACTGGCCTGGCTTTGTGCCCTTGGTAACTCCGCTCGTTGCTCTTCCAGTGATGTCAGGGAGAGTTTTCTATTGACTTTGGTGGAAACTGGGTTAGATCAGTGCTGACTGCTTTTGAGAGGCCCATGCAGAGAACTCAGTTTAGATAGCGTAGCAGGGGAGCCTGGCCTGCTCATCACATCCAGCTTTGTTCTCTGTCAGATTTAATTAACTGAGCCATACAATATTTTGCATTTTCTCCTTCCGAGGCAATGCAGAAGTCCTGGCTTTCTCTTGGACACTGGGTCTCTGCATGCTACTAATGAGGATTTACCAGCAATGACTTTATTGCCCTGGTGAAATGCCAGCTTGGCAGTAGCCCCGTGAGTCATATTCAGTGCTCTCTTTAGAGAACTGGGAATGCAACTGCTGATATTAATTTTGTGCTGTTGTTCCCTGCCATAGGAGAAAAACATCATCATCACAGAAAGATCGGGACTTCTTTGAGGTAAGAAAGATTTTATAAAGAGTAAAGGAGAACGTGACTGTCAGCCCAGAGCGTCTCTTCCTTGCTCATTGGAATGCTGCAGACAGCCTGTCCTTTCCCTTTTGGTTCTGCCAGTAGTTTACTCGTAGGGCAGAGTTCCTAGAGTAAGATTTTTTCCTCTTGGGCCTAGATTACAATGCCTCTGTAAAATGCAGTCTAGTTTCGCCTTTCAGGCCCCGGCCTTTCCTCTTGAAGTCCTTAGCTGGGGAGTTTCAGATCCTCTGTAGCTCCCTCAGAGTCCAGGCAGTTCCTGTCACAGCCTGAGGTCCCTGTGGGAAGTCTGGTCTGTAGGTTTCTTCTTATCACAGTTTCAGCTCTAAATAAGAAATTTCACGGCCTTCTTTCATTTTCATTGCCCTTAGCGACACTTCTAGATGCCAAAAAGCTCTTCTAGCCTGCCACATACAGCTCAATGAGCATTTTATGACACTTAGTATGTAGGAGCACTTCAGCAAATTAATGCAAAACAGCTGTGGTGGAAATTATACTTTGTACTTCACAAATTGAGATTCATTTCCTTGAAAGAGGGGTATCGTGGATTCAGTTCAGGGATACAGAGCAGTCCCCGTGATACCACCTTTTCAAGAACAGGCTTAGTAGAGATTTGATTTACCGGGCATTCAATCAGCTTCTATCGGGGATCATAAATAATAAATAGGAGTGAAAAATGAGATTTTGTTTTTTAATCAGCAAGCAGATACGTGGAGGTGAGACGCAACGAGTTCATATTTGGTGGTAATATTTTCTGTGAATATAATGCTGTCTGTCATCTGTGGTGAGAATCTTCTTGTCTAACTCCAGTTGCCCAAACAATAGGCGTTGAGTCAGACTAGGCCCTTAGGCTCCCTTGACAGTCAGTGGAGAAAAAGAGAAGCTCGGCCAGAGGCTGAATTGTTTTTTCTGAAGAGAAGACAGATGTGTGACATAGGAACCCCCATGAAATGACTCATCTCATTTGTCTCCTTCCATTGATTATTGAGGGAAACTAGATGGTGATCTCCAGTTAACTCCTTGATATTTAGAAGCAAGGCTAAGCCAAACTGGCCAGAGTTAAGCAAGATCAAATCCAACTAAACTGTGCTTCTAGCCTCATCTGTTTGCATATCTCTAAAAAACAATTATCATCCTCTTTTTCCCGTTGGGCAGTGTCAGTGCAGGGAGTGAGTTACTGCTGTTAGCTGCTTTAGTAGGGATATGTGGAAGAGGCCTCTAAGTATGCAGGCTTCTAGCTATCTGGCCATGAGTTGGAAAGGCAATTCTAAGAGTCTTCATACCATGAGTGTCCTATCAAATCTTGTCTGATGTGTGGTAAAGGTCAATGCCAAAGCGGTTGCTGGCTTTTTAGTGGAGTAACGCCAGCCTCCACTCTGGGACACGGTGGGACGTTGGGACTTCCTCAGTAAAAATGAGATCTGTGTTCTCAATTCAGAGCTTCTACAACTACTGCAACTATGTGGCTTGGCTTGTGTTCAGACGGAAGCACTTCCGGGTGATACAGGAAGAAATCAGCAGACTTCTTCGCTCTGACATATTTAATCCTATCTTAAGAAAGAAGAACCATGCTGACTTGCAGAAAGCAGGACACCAGACTGCTGATGCAAAGAAAGCGAGATTCCCATGTCACAGGTACATGTTTGACACTCTGATGGGCCTTTAGGGAACCTCCCCTGTCCCAACACACTGAGATAACAGCTGCATTTGTTTTCTTTCAAGAAACGGCTGTGCCAAGCGTCCATCTATAAATACTGTGGCTCAGCAGCGCTCACCAATGCTCAGCACGCTGCTGCCCTTACCAAAGGACAGTGCTCAGCACCTCTTCCAGAAGCAGTTCTACCGTCAGGGCAAAACCCCTCAACCTTGCAAGAATAAAGACTTGCCAGAGTTCTCAGAATTGTTCACTACCAAGTAAGGGGCTATTTCTGTGCATAAGTAGATTTGGTTGTACTGTTAGAAAGGATATCTGATGGCTAGCTCTTCCTCACCGGGAGAGGGGCCATTGGACTGAGAATTTTTCTACTTTGTAGTTAGAGAGCAACTGGAGTATAGGTAAGACAAGCCTGAGCTAGCCTGGGACTAGCAGTGCTGGTACTCTTGGTTAATTGATGGCTAAGCAGCTACCATCCATCGCAGTGCTTAGTTAAAACTGAAAAGTTTTCTGGGAAAAAGAAGTATGTTTTAATATAAAATTGAAGAGAAACCAATCAAAAGCTTTTGACCCAAAATGAAATTTTTTCTTCTTCTTATGATTCATTCCAAATTATTATTTTTACATGACTTCCATTTTATAGTACAGTCTTCTGATCGGACATTATTGACATGTTTTATTTTGACAAACTCATTTTGTTACTATAATGTACTTTCAAAATATAGCTTCTATACAAGAGAGCTTTTTCTTCTGATTCAGGGTAAAAGAAAATCTTCCAAGCCTTAGTATGCCCTGAAGGAATAATTCCATTTTCTATCCAACTATGGATAACAGCAGTATCACAACAACACTTTTTTGTGTAATAACTCATGCAAACGGGTTCTGCTGAAGTGCATGTAGGGCTACATGTAAGGCTTTCCAGCATAAGTCTTCTTTTTCTTCATGGAAACTATAATTTGAGAGTGTCCAGCATTTGTGTGGACCCTCCAGAGTTCTCAAAAATCTAATGGATGCTACTACACTATACATGCAAAATCTTGGACGTATCTGCACTACATGACCAGTGGGTCCAGTATTTCCTGAAAATGTGAATTTTGTTGCAAATGCACGCGTAATTGCTTTTTGCATGCCTTCAGAGCTGAGTGCATCCTGAACATATTGGCTTTACAGCTCACGCATAGACTCACATAATTCATATGCAATAGGACCAACTTTTCCAGAAAGCTTTACTTGGACAGACACGTTTCATGTTGTGTGCATGCACGCTCTGGATGGAAACATGACATAGTGTGCAAGGTGCAGAATGTATAAGCATGATTATTGGTTTTTCCCTGGGGGAAAGCAGATATTCTCTCCCAAATGTGTTTATCCACAGTCTAACTAAAGGAGGCAAGGCTGCTTGCTGTTTTACCCAGGAAAAATTACAAATTGTTCTCCATTACTCCTATTTTCCTTTGCTTCATTGTGTCAATCATATTAACACCACTTTTTGTAACAGGGTGGGCATCATTGGAGCTCATTGTAGTGAGTTAAATCCCATGATGGTCATGCCCATGGGGATGATGGAGGAGGAAGAGGAAGAGCAAGGACAAAAAAGGAGTGATTCCTCCATCCCTTCAAATGACGTGAGCTTGTTAACTCTGAGAAGCCCCCAAAGCAGACTTAGTAATCAGAGCAGTGTCCTCTCAAGAGCAACGACAGAAGTGGACTGTAGTTAGAGCATCTAACAGAAGTGTTATCTTCTTGTGTTGGGTGCCATGGTTTCGCGTTGCTAAGTAAACCACTTTGAATCTGCAGCTTAAAAAGCCTGAATCGCCTGAATCATCTGTCAGGGGTGGGGAAATTTAGCATCCAAGGTTCTGGACTGGGTGACTGAAGATCTGGACGGTAATTCCTAGTTCTGTCACCAACATACTCAGTGATCTTAGATCAGTGCAATCTTAGATCGTTGTATTCCCCCTTCTACTTAACACCTTGATTGCACCGTTTCTAAGATGAAGATTTTTCTGCTGACTTATTCTGGGAAGTGCTTTGACACCTGAAGATAAATATCATTATTGATTTTAACGTCAACACTCTTTTTCTATTGTTTGGTCTCTTCACTGAGACTGGCACATGTTATATCAACACATTAATATCTTTGAGGCCTAGGCTTGTTTTCCTTGTTTCGGGTGAGTGCTTTTACCATTGGATGAGGCTGTTGTGGGCCTGCAGTTTCTGTCTTAAGCTTTTCATTAGACATTTGTCTTGGTACGGAGCAAAAATATTTACAAGTTTTGTGGGATGGAAAACACATATTCTTTCCCAGAGAAGGGAAAAAAAATTAGAACACTGTGAGACTGCTACATCTTCCTCATGTACGTGGTCTGGAGTGCTATACTTTTTATTCAAAACTAACATTTCTGGATTATACATTTGCGTTAATCTTGGGAGGGCAGGTTAGTGAAAAGTTCAAACAGGTCCAGGGAAATGTTATTCTCATGAAAAGCAGGCCATTGCTGGAGCATACAGGAGAGTAGCCTCTTTCCCTTTCCCTTTATCTTACAACCCATGCAGAGTTTGAAGTCTGGTTTTTGTAACAACAAATAATAAGGCAGCTTAGGAATGTCATATGTGTGGTCTAAACCTTCACGGTTACGGTCTCAGAAATGGTGACGAGACCTTGAGAAGGTGCTTTAGTTGCAGGTTTTCTGAAATCTTGGTTGGACCAAAGCATGTGCAACTGCCCTTGCAGACAGCGTGAGTGACTCCGGCATGGCACATACCTGGCTGCAGATGCAAGAGGCAGGTGTCGTATCATCACCCTGCAGCAGCGTGGTGTCCCTCCTGAACAACGCAGCAAGATGTTGGCTAGTGCCTGGAGCTGAGGGAGGCTACAACATGACTTTCTCCTCCTGGCCTTGGGACAAACCTGGTTCCTGCACTAGGAGACCTGCACGTGCTAAGGGCTCTGTGTGTATGGCTTTGGCTTTCTAACTGTGACACTGGCCCCTGTCTGACCTGTGGATTTGCCCTCTGGGCAGAATGAGGTTGACATCCCAATATGCTATGTATTGTCCTTGCAAAGCATGTCACTTTGTTACATCTAAGCAAATAGGCATTGTACTGAGTCCTAAAAAGAGTAGGAGCAAAAAGTGTCCTTTGCGACATCGGTCCTGCAGGGCAATGTAGGCTGCGGTATTTGCTAATAACTGAGAGTTATGAGCAACTGCCCCTGTAGTGCCTGGGGCAGAGATTTCATTGAGTTAGGCACTCTGCCTGTGGTGGGTCCTGGGCAGCCCTAGGACGACAGGAGAAGACAGAGGGTAAGGGGCTCACGCAGGCAGCAGAGCTTCTGGATGTGAACAAAGTTTTTGTGCACTGTCACTTACCTGCAAGGTCGGTGTCATTAAGGAGAGAAGGAAGCACTGAGCGGCCACCAGAGTTGCTCAAAAGCAGCCGATGAGCTACTCAGACTGAGAGGTGATGTTCAGCCTGTTATGTTTGCCCCTCTCCAGATTCAAGGCATGTTCCTCACAGTCTCCCTAAACAAGTAGCCCTATAGGGGTACTTTTTTGCATGAAATAGTGTGCAACAAGTGTTTGCTTTCAGCAAGCTGTTTTCCTTGGGCAAAAGGCAGCTCCCTTAGCGGCATGTTCTCGGCTAATTCTGTCTGCATCCAGAACAGCCTGTCTGACTCATTCTGCGGGAGTTACCTGAGTGAAATCTGATTTGATGGTCCTAGTGAGTCCTGGTTTTACTAAGCTATGATTGTCAGCCAAGCCCTCAGCCATGGCTTTGGGCTGAAGTTTTCTGCGGTAATCTAACAATAACCTTGAACTTTCCAGAAAGCATTGAGAAATGTCTTGCAGTTCAGATCCTTTAGTCAGCAGAGTCCTTTCCAGGATTGCCTTCTCAGCGTTAAGTGTCTGCTTCTTCTGAGGTAATGTATGTCTAACACAGACAACCCATGCTTGTTTAAGCATGTAAGCAAGGCCTGGCAGCCTTTTACACATGACAGTGACTCATCCTTCCAGCAGGAGAGAGTGAGTCAGAAAGGGCAGTTGACAAGCTTTATTTATCAGTCTCCTGTTATTTGGCCCAGGAGAATTTTACTCTGTAAAACCCACCCTCGTTAATGACAAGCAGAGTTGGGAATTGTATCATAAGATTATTGGCTCTTTCCCCCATGGGCTTTATGTGCAGTTTCATACCAGGAAATCACAGCAGGTTGGCCATTTCCATGAATTTGTTGTTATTGCTTTTTTTTTTTTTAATGGACGCATTTTTTTTTAATGCACGCATGAGCTATCTTGGAATAACCTACCTGAGCCATGGTTACCATAAAGAGTACAAACTCAAATGCCTTTCAGTGATGAAAAGAGCCTGGGGGTTCTGTACAAAAGCATTTGCAGAGCTCCCATTTACTTGCTTCTTTTAGGGCTGCTTTGCTCAGAGCTTTGATTGAATGCTGCTAGCATGGCCTAGTGTCTGGGCTGGCTTTTGGTGATGGTTCTGCCACTCATAGGCTCCAGATAGGGTGTGTCAGGCTTTCCAGTGTAAGTGTCTATTTTCAGAATTTTACCGCTCTGTTATAGAAATTCACGCCAGGCAGAAAGTTAGCAGAAAGAATCACAACTTGGAGATGGAAAAAGAGACAGAAAAAACTATGGCCTTTCATTAATTAAGGAAACTCTACCCTTGGGGGTGTCTGTCTTTGAAGGTGGCAGAGAGATGGCAGTGTAGTCTAGATAACGGGCAGATGTCTAGATAACGGGGTGACCATTATCTGTAATGGTGTCTTGAGGTGTGGGAAGAAGCAAAGTCGGCCCAGGCCTGTTCTGCTCATGTTGCAGGTGGGTTTGGAGCAGTAGCCTATGGAGGCAGCACCCACATACTAGCATGGCTTCAGGCTCGGTGAGCTCTCTGTAAGTCAGTGAAGCAGGACTTGAAGATCTTGCAGATTAGTGGACTGGATCCATGTTTGTGATCCCTCCAGTTCAATCCTGTTCACCTTGTTCTGTTAGGGGCCAGCGTCTGATATATAGGGAAAAGTGAGGCAGTCTGAGCCTGGACGTCTTTCTGTGCAAGAAGGACATTCTAAAAGATGCTGCAAAGTGGCAGAAGGACCTCTCCTGATTCTCAGGAAAAAGAAGGACCCATAGTCCCTTCCTCCCCTTAGGCTGACTTGGAGGCTTTTTTCCCCCTTTACAATCATTCACTAGTCTACCTCTTTGAATGCAGAGCAAGTCAAAGGTGCCCAAAGCTCCGCAGCATTGCCGCAGGGCAGCAAACAGCTTTCCTGTAGGCTGCCCATCCCAGAGCCTCCTTTCTGAGGGATTCTCAATCCCCATGATGCAGCAGGAGTGTTCAGCTCTTGGTCCTTCTGCTGGGACAGTCAGCTAATTCATGCTGGGAGGGGAAGCAGGTGAGGAGGGACTCTGGATGTACTGCCTCTCCCTGAGAGCCGCAGATGGCATTTTTGTCAGCAAATAGCAGGCTTTGCCCATTTTTGCCTGGATTCATACAGGAATTTTAGAAGTGTTAAGGCCCGCTGAAGTCAGGGGACAAACACTCTTATATGTATTTGGGAATGTGACTCTGTTGCCAGCAGACAAGCAGGGACTTTCTGGGTGCTGCAGTGGTGAAAGGTACCATCATGTTTCCTGATTCGGAGTGTCCCCTGCTCTGCTTGGCGGGGGGGAAGTATTTTTTGTACTGCTTTTGTTTCCCTAATAGACAAAACAGTCCATGAATCCTTGATAGACCTCTGAAGATGCATTTTATTGCCCCTGTTTCTGAAGTTGCTGGCCTCCCTTGCTCTCTCAAAGCCAATGCTGTACCTACCAACCAACTGGCCTTCCAGCCAAAGAGTACACATAGCACCTCCTTTGTATGGAGAGCTGGCACCATCACCTCACTTACTCCTTGCCACGGGATGGGTGTGTTGCCTTATGGTGCCTTTTTACCTCCAGGTATGCTGGGAGAAAGAGCAGTAGTCAAACTTGCAACTGAACCAAGCAGTGCCTTGCAGTAAGAAGAGAGGAAATTGCTAGTCTGGATTCTGGATTAAGCAAGGCTTTCAAATGTTGGTGGGATGTGTTGCTGCACTGCATAGAATGAAGGCCTTCGTCATATAAACAGTCTGCACTGGGATCATCATGACCACTAAGAGGTCAAAATGGTTCAAATTTCATTATAAATGTTGTCAGTGAGATTTTTACAACTCACAGCAAAGAAACTAAGTTGCAATTTGCAGAATGTGAAGGTGTTTTTCACCCTAGCTCTTCTTCCTTGTGTGAGAGAAAATTTAAAGGTTCAAAAAATGGGCTGTAAGCATGCTGTCACTTGTTATGGCTCTTCCATTTAGAAGAGACACTGATAATATGAAATTTGTGTATTTCTCAGTACGATCTTGTTTATTTACTGAAGAATAAACAGTGTATTTTTTCTCTTTCCTTGAATATCATAGAAAAAAGTAAAACCAAGTAGCTTCTGTACAGACATTCCAAAGTTTGCTGCTCCTGACAAGCTCTGACTTCAAAAGGGTCCTCCTCTGTGTTGCTCCCTACTTTTCTCTTTCCTGTACCCAAGGCAACCAGTACATCAACCCTGACCTTGTCTGGGCAAGCTGGGAAATCCCTGACTTATGAAGTCGTGCCATGAAAACTAGATTCTTGGGAGAGAGCTTCCACCATTCTTCTGTCTTTACTGCGTTAAAAAAGGATAGTAATTCCTTCTACTGAGCCTGGAAGAGTATGCATGACAAGTTTCTTACAATGGTATGTGTGGGGGTTGTGGATTAAAGACTTGCCCAAAGGCTGCTGTTAGTAGTTTTCAGCATAATAATCAAGTGATGAAGGTGTAACATCTAATTTAGGTG